TGAATTTGCTAATGGTATCACTTCAAAATATCCTCTTACATGGAAGTATTTATATGTATATAAACATATGTTCATCTTTTAGTTTTATTCGAAATAAGACTTTTTATTTATATTATAACAATAAATTTACATAATATATTATTTGATTTTCTCATTTCACTCGTTTAATTTTTTAATAACGAGTAAAATATAAAATAAATATTTTTTTATATGATGCTTAACTTTTTACTTTTATTTTTATTAAATGTAAAAGTTGAATTGATATTTAATTTTGATATATTGAGCTAAAAAGGTGGAATATTCTTTATGGGGAGAGAAGATGGAAGGAGCAGAGTGGTGTAAAGTGAAATCTGATATGGCATATGAAAAACTACAATGTTATAAAAATTTGAGAGTATAGTACAATGAATTGCCAAATGGAGAAAATGGGAATTGCTGCAAATAGTCTTCCATGCATGAAAAAGCAGCTCTGCTTTTGAGCATTCAAACTCATACTATTTTTTTCCAACAAAAAGAAGATAACCCACGTGCTTCTACATGGATCAAGTAAACTAAACTCTTCAAAAAATTTCCCCATTCCGGTAAATGGAACCGATTTCATGTGAGGGTTTTTCTAGATGGAAACCCTATAATTAAGCTTTCAAAATAACCCTAACTTTTAAGCATTTTCTATAAATAAAAAAAAGGAAGAAGAGTTTTTTAATAAATTTTTAATAAATATTTACATGTTATTGAAGTTTTTAAGGTTCAGAAGCTGGTGATAATGAAATTGGGAAGATGCTGGGTTGAGAGGTTTCATTACAAGGAGAAGACATAGGAATGGTGGAGAATATGAGTAATCACAATTCACCTTTCATCCTTATCCGTCAAACAAAAAGGTTTCTAGTGAGATGTGGAAGTGTTGAAAAATTTACATGTGAGTTTAAATTTCATAAAGTAAAAATGAAAAAAAATTAAATATTATATTAAAAATAATCAATAAATTTATTGTTTTGATATTTTATGTTGAAGGCGATGTTAATGTTTTTTGTACGGTTTAAGTGTTTTATTGATATTGTATTTCTTAAAATATTTTTCATCGAAAAATTAGTTAATGATATTGAAGCTGAAGGCTATTTTGATAAAGTTCATATTATTTTCATAAAATAACAGAAGATTTGAAAAAAATACAATATCACTTTATTGACATAAAGGCTAATATGTAATATTTGTAAATAATTTTAAAATTGAGATTACTTCATCATAGAAGACAATTTTTTAGAGACCATAGATTATTTTATGTTTTTCACTAGTTATAGAAACTGTTTTGATTTTTACTATATTTTAATTTGAGATATAACTTGAAATCTTTGAATATATTTTTTCTCTTCATAATATCTTGATATTTTAATTTGAGACACAGCTGAGAATCTTTGACTATTTCTTTTTACAATGTTTTGATTGAAGTGTCTATGAGACTAAAGAGTAAAAGAATATTAGTTGAGTTTTTCTTTGGTCAAATTAATCATGTTTAACTTTCAATCAAATTACGCTTACTTTATTCAAAATCTTAATTCAATATTTTAATCAAGACATGACGTACAGACAAGTATAAGAATTCGATTTGCTTTGATGTAATCAAATCCAATTATAATACTAACTGACTTTAAAAAAAAATATGAGAACACCAATATTGATTTGCAATTATAAGCAACTATACATTAATTTACATAATATAGTAATGTATAATCATGAGACACAAATTATTCTTTAAATCCCATTTACCAAAAAACTTATGTTATTTATATATCTATCCAATCAATTTTGTCTTAAATAAACCCTTAACCAATCCTAATTTAATCCTAACATCATTACCTTCCCTTTTAATGAAATCGAGTTTAGAAATTATTCTATTCTATTGAAAATTCACTGAAAAAAATAATTTAGGATGAAAATATAATTCATTGATCTTTTACATTTAATTTATCTATTTTAATATTTTCATCTTAAATATTTTTTTACTGTTCACTCTTTTACATATCCTACAGCAGAAAGCTAAAGAAGTGATTGATTCGTATCCAGGTAAATTTTTGAAGAAATTTGTTCTTAAGGTAAATAATGACATTGATTTAATATTTGTGAGTGAAAAGACATGGTTAGTAATTGTAAATAAGCTGAAAAGATCCTGAGAAGAAGATAAAGCAATTTATGAATGAAAGGTTGAGCATCTAACTATCTAGTTTCCACCATTATTTGACATTTGATTCTCCATTAACAAGCTAGGAGAATGGAACTACATGTCCTTTCTTTTGATCTGACTTCACCTCCTTAAACGAGTAGAGCCTATTTGCTATCCACCTAAATTTTTTAATATATATGTTTATATTAGTTTGATTTTTTTTAAAGTATAATAAATATTTTTAATTTTAAAAGTAAAATAATTGTATAATTCATTTCTTAATTCCTATGAACATATTTTGAGAAAGAAATTTCCTTACCCTATTTAAAAAAGGAAGGATATGTTTTACTATTTCTACTTCTTTTATATTTTTCTCCAACAAAAAAAATCCAAATTTTTATTTTATTTTATTTTATTTTTATCTATTTTTAATTTAATAATTTATTTCCTGTTATTGGTTGCTCTCTGAATCAAACAGGTTTTAAAGTAATGACTAATTTTATTCTGTCCAACTTGTTAAATTAAATTAATTATAGAAAGTACGTCTCAATATAAATAACTAATATCAACATTAGAGTATAATATTAATTCGCATTAATTAACTACTTGATATCATTATAAAATTTCTAACAGAAAATTTGAAGTAGATACTAGTTTTGTCCAATAAAAAGTATGAGAACTGTATGATACTATTTTTCGGTTAATTAAATCAAACAAATAATTTATTTCTTCCTATTTGAAGATTGTTTTAAAAAAAGACATTTTAATTGAAGAAGGTGATAAAAGCAATTGTTAGTGGTGCTGTATTTCATTTAATATTTGATAAGATTAAATTAAAACATGAAGTTAATATAAAAAGTATTTGGAGAAGGAAAAAGAGTGTAACATGAGAATCCGTGCACTAAAAACAGTTTTGAACATTAGGAATTTGTCTCCTTTGGATGTTCATGGAATTGACAGATAGAGAATGGTAAGAGTTTATGAATTGAGCTATATAGTGTCATTAGGATAGTGATTATTATTCTCTGTTTCTTGGAAGTGACATTGCCTTTCCAATTCCCATTCATTTCATATATCCCAAACTTGGTTCCTGTCATAATTCCAACAGCCTAATTATATACTATTTTTTCTTCTTCTTTTTATTTAAAATAATATATAATTTTGTACTGTAAAGTAGAATGCAGAGTCAAGAAAAAAAAATTGCACTTTCCCATTAAATATTTCATTTATAATTCCTAAAAATTATATTTTAAGATTAATTCCACTTTATAAAATTTATTAACAAAGTGAATATTATATTTAGTTAATATACAATATTTAATTTATATTAAGTTGAGACATATATATTTTAAACATAAAACTGAATATTAATAAATAATTATTTAAATACGAGACTTTGAATAATTTTTTATATTACTTAGAGAGTGAATTTTAGACTTAATTTAATTTTATAAAACTTATTTGTCATATGAAATTTATATACAGTTATGAACTGAAAATTTATTTTATTTACGACATCGTATTCATATTGATTAGGGAAAGGAATTATTGAAAATATGAGAGGAATTTGTCAGGAAAACATTGAAGAGGTTGTTTATTTTTCACATTTCCCAACAGTCGAAACCTAAGTTGTAGAGTTTGAGGAAGTGTGTTTGGGTAGATTTGCATGTGTGATGAAACTAAAGAAAGGAAGGAAGCATAAAGGGTGCTTTTGAAAAAGCACGACGGGAGAAGTGGAAGGTATGAGTTGTAGTGTAAGAAAGGAAAAGAGAGTGTAGATACACGCGCATGGGTTACGCGTAGTACTGTGTTAGTCCAAAGATACATAGAGAAAAATAAGCACGTCCGTGCATGACACGTTTACCATAGAACGTAGATTCTACTTTTGCATGAGTCTAATCGCGTAACGCTTTCTCATTGGCTGGTGCTTCTTACAAGAAATCATGATCTTATTATTGCCTTCTAAAGCTACGTAGGGGACCCCCACCCACCAAGTATTTTTCTACCTTTCTCTACTTTTCATGCGAGTAAAAGCAAGTTACAGCTCCAAACAAACACAACAAAACTTCCAAAAACAAAAAGAATAATAATAATATATCTAGATGTATATCGAAGTGGAGCTGGAGGAGAATCAACAAGCAAAATAGATTTTGTTTGATTTTCGCGTCAAACAACGAACCAGCACAGCCCGAGGATTTGTGGAAACCAGTTCAAAGGGTCAAGAAAAGAAAAGCCAAACCTTTCCCTTCAGATTTTTTAGCTTCTTTTATTGGATTGGACTTGCTCTTTTTACTTCAAAAAGCTACAAAAGGGGACTAAAGAATCCCACACATACCTAACTCCAAACCCAAGTGGCCTCACTTTCAGATTTCTATATGTTTTTCTGAGTTTTACTTTTTCCAGTTTTCGAGTTAATTTGAACATTATGGAACCAAAGAAGATGCAAATTGAAAAGAGCTGGCTAAGGATGAAACAAACATGAAGTGAAAGATCAAGGCCAGTTAATGCTGTCTCAGATAAGACACATATACATGTAGTGCTCGCTCCCAATTCATGATTGGCACGTAGGTTGTTCCCGAAGATTATAAATCCAAAGGGAAAACGACTTTTGACAAGCACTACCTGCTTTACTCACTTCATTATATACCGTGTTATTTAACATATTATAGAAACAGATTAACAAGTTTATACGTGTCATACATCACCAACCCCTTTTTTTTAAGGCCTCTGATATATCCATCCTTTGCTTAATCGAATCAATGTTTTGAATTTTACCAACAGAAATAATTATTAAGGAGAAAAAAGCACTTAAAGTTTACTGTCAAATGGTATTGAAACTTGATTAACAGCAGAAAAGGATCGAGATTCACATTAATTTCACCCCCAAAATGTTGATTTACAATATGGGTACAACGGTGTGACAGAAGAAAAAGGAGGGGGGAGGGAGGGGAAAAAGAAACAAAAATGGAATGAAGAGAAAATGATGACAATGGGTTGTTGAGAGAAAGAAAAACAATATATTAATTAAGAGTGTTTATTTATTTAATTAATTATTTATTTATGTGATGGGCAAGGGTTGAGGGATTCGGGAAAAAATTTTCTGTCCAGGTGCAAGAAGAGCGAAGGGATCAAAATTGGCCTTTCTCTCGAGGAATGTGGTCCATTTGTCTCCGTAGTGTCGCATCCAGTTCTCCTGTGACTGGTAGTGAGGGAGATAGAGCTTGAAATCAAAGCCTCTGTTGCAGCAGAGCTGAATAATCTCATGGTTTTGTTCCACCAAGAGTTCAGTGGGTGGTCCCTTTGGTGGTGGTGGAATAAATCGGAGCAAGGCTATAATGTAGAAAATGTTGCTATCCGGCACCACTACCGAGTGTCGAGCATCCCACCTGATTAACACAAAAGAAAACAAAAGTAGAAAGAATTAATGAATTGGGTCCTTAATTATCACAACAGAATTGAAGCATGTTATTGATGATGGGTTGCGCATGACTTGAAGCAGTTGCAGATGGGGGACCCTTAAATTGTAATCCCCCAGAAAAGGAGCACCACAACACAATGAATCCCTGTGTGTGTGGAACCATCAGAGGGTTTTTGTTTTCTCTGTCAGAAATCAAAACGAGTTTCTTTAGAGTCCATACAAACACCGGTGTCGCTGTAATCCGGTTGGCCATTAAATATCCTTGTCCATTCCATTTGCCAACACACACCACCATCATACTTTCTTCCCATCCAACCCAATCATTTAATGCTCTAAATTAATCTCAATCCACTTTTCTCATATCCACACACAATTCCCTACTTCTACCTTTTACATTCTTCAAATCTCTACTACCACTTTCATGCACACTCTATCCATACTACCACTACCTTCTCTCCTACCATCCTTTCTAAGCTTCTAATTTACATTTTCAGTAATTACATATCACATTTATTTTTCAACCAAATTTTAATTTTTTATTTTAAATTTATTATTATTTATTATTATTATTATTATTAAACACCCACATAAAATACTTTTAAGCGAAATAAACTTTTCAGTAAAACATCAAGAGATTTATCCTGCACAACGTGAAACAGTGAAATACATATTCCATTATTTTCTCTAGAAATTAACAGCGACACGAAAAAAAAGAAAAAAACATTAAAATATTGCTGTTTTTTGAGAGCTAATCTGAGTTTTGTCAGTGAAGATTGCCAAGCAAAGACAGACAGGATGTAAAAACTAAACTCGAAAGTCTAACCCATGCACCCCGTTGGGAGGGTGTCCCAAAGCAAAGTTTTTTGAGAGGGTGATAGTAGTATAAAACTACTACAAATACAGTACGGAGAGATACAGAGGAAGAGAGGTACGAGCAGCTCAGTATGATGAAACAGCTGAGCTGAGGTTACCTTACGACCAAAAATGGGGATGGAAGTGGGTCCCACCATGGCTTGACCCTTTGAGTGGAATATATTAGACCCACCCTCAAGATCTTAACCACCCCCAGTGGTCCAAACCAACCCACACTTACCACATAATATATAAATACATAACTTATACATACCCAATACACACACAACACAAGGCAAACAGAGTAAGGACTCAGGTGACTCACATACGTGGCTTACAGGTCACGCTGGATTGCCCCTGTGGGACCCTTGTCCCATACCCTCTTGCGTGTCAACCCCATAGAACACTGTCATTCTTCGTGTTACAACCTCATGATGAGATTAAGGGTTAAATAACGAAATTATTGTTTACAGAAGTATAGTGAAAAGTTACTCCCGGAAGTTATCTTAACAGTGATGAGAAAGCAGATTCATGTGAAGCGAAGGTGAAGATCACACACAACCAACCCAACAAACGCATTAAAATTAGAGACTGACGTGAATGCATGTAATGTAGCTAGCTAGCTTAGCTTGCTATCCCCTCAACAAAGGTGAGGGAAGATTTTGCCAAATCTGGCCTGTTGAACTAATTAATGCTGGAATAAATATTTGTAGGTGGTGAAATTGAAGGAAATGAAAGGAACAGCAAAAGAATCTAAAACGATAAAGTTTATGATTTTATATTTACTTGGATCGCAGCAGGGGGTAGACTAGAATGGGGCCACCAACACCGTGCTTGAGGATTTTCTTGAACACTTCACGGTCGAATTCAGCGATGTGGGACTTGGAGACGAACAGGTTCAGCCAAGGGTGGGGTGCGTCCCAGATGCCGTTGGCTCTTGCATCTTCCTCCACACGATTCACACGCAGCAGGAATTCCATGTAGGTCACATCCAGCGAGAACTTTAGACCCTCGACGAATCGGAGTCGTCCAAGTAATCTATCCACCTCCTAAAAGAGAGAGAGAGAGAGAGAGAGTTAAGGGGCATTAGCGTCATTAGCGTGAATTGATATATTTTTCTACAGATTCCAGAAAATGATGGGGTTTTGGGCATTTTCGGAAGTGTGGGGACCGTAACGTCAGCGAGATCTCAATGATCAGAGCAATGGAGCAGGCAGTGATGTTACATGACCATTTTAGCCTTACCCACAAAGGAACTCCGCATTGCCATTTTATGCTTATTGCTAAGGTATCAACCCTCGCAAGGTACAGTCCCCTTTGGTAATTTAAAACGCAAAACATAGGCCATTTTGGGCGAGGCTTTGTGTCAGAAAATCCAATGGAAGATACATGATGACCGAATAGTCAGTTTTCACCAAAACCATTGCCATTTTCATGGAACAATACAAAATCAAATTATCACAACCAAAAATTTAAAAACTTCAAAAAAAAAATCATTAAACAAAAATAAACCAAGTGAAATGTGACGTTATCTATGAACCTCGTGGCAGACAGGAATTAAATAAGCCATCTTCCCTCGGCTTAACTTCGTACATGTGTAGGTGAAAATCTGCGTATATTGACTTTTTACCAGGGACCCACTTAGGGTAACTTCCTTCATTTTAAATTATTTAATATTATTTATTTTTTCTAACCTAAGGTTACTCATTTCCCTTACATTACACCACTATGCTCAAGTCTATTTTTTTTTATTAAAGTAAGTGACCCGCTAGGTCAAAATTGAGCCATCATTGGTGCCCCGGACTGTTCTGTGCCCGACCCGTACAATCCCCGATAAAAGACAAAAATCCCAAACGCCAGCTAGAGAGTGTGTACACACATCACATCCTGCTGAATAATGAAACCCCAAAATACCGAAAATATAACAATAAAAATAAACGGAGTTCACAAATTTAAATATTAATTACCATATTAACAGCGGAAGGGTGGTCTTCGTTACGGTAATGAAGCGCCAGTTCTAAACAATACAGAACCGGACCCGCCGTCGACGGGAGGCGAGCCGGGTCGAACCGTTGGTTTGGGCCCGTGGGTACCGTGGGCCAGCCGTTGCAAGGGTCGTCACTGTTCACAAAAACGAAACCTTCCACGTAGTCAAAACCGTAACCTTCTCTAGTCACCAGCCACTCTGCGTCTCTAGTGTAATCTTCAAATTCCGAGTACACCACTCTTATCCATCTCACCTAATCGTAATAATAATAATAATAAAAATAACAATTAAAAATTAAAATATATGTTGACAACATCAAATATTAATTATTAATATTTTTTGGTTGGGCGAGGATTTAGTAGCGTACCATGTCGGGGGCTGGTTGAACTGGGACCCGGGCTCGGGTTATGATACCGAACTGGCCCAGCCCTCCGAGAGTTGCGAAAAAAAGTTCTGAATTTTGAGTTTCGGAGCAGACTAAGGTTTCGCCTTTTCCGGTGACGACTTCCAATTCCGTTACGTTGGAGGTCTGCGGGCCGTAACGGAAGGACTGGCCGCTGACGCCAGCGTTGGAGAGTGTGCCGCCGACGGTCAACCCAAGGTAATCCGTCCACGAGCGTGGCGCGAGACGGAACTCAGAAACGCAGCGTTTAAGAACCTCTTCCCATAATGCCCCTCCCGAGACGTCGACGTGTAGGGAGCCGTCGTCGAGGGAAAGGAGCGTGAAGCGGTCCTCCATGGCGCGCATGTCGAGGACCAGCCCGTTCTCTGCCATGGCCTGACCGTTGATGGAGTGTCCGTTGCCGCGCGCTGCCACCGTGAGATTCGCCGTGCGCGCTGCGGCCTTCACCGCCCTCGCCACGTCAGCGGCATCGGCGGGGCGTATGACCGCCAACGGCTTCGCGGATTTCATCCCGCCGAAGTCCTTGCAGCCGGCGGCGGTGGCGCCGAAGTGGAACGAACCTTCGACGCCCAAAACGTCGTCGTTAGGCATGGATTCCGTGTCATTTCCGTGCACGAAGTGTTCTAAGTAAGCTATCATGGTGAGAGATTTATAATTTTTTTTTGCTCTCTTTTGGAAGTAGCGTTTGAGTTTGATCCTTTGAGAGTTTTGTGTGTTGCGTGTGTGAGGTTTGTGTGCGTGCTTCGGCGCAGTTGGGGTTTATATAGCGGCTGCTTTGGATTTACTTGGAATTTTCCTGTACTAAAGAAAAGCCATTTCCGTTATATTTTTTCGAATCTGAGGAAATTAGAAGGTTTTTAATTTTTTCCATTTATTGCTTTTCTTTTGTCGTTTATGGATATTAATTATTAAAAGAAGTGATTATGGAGATGTGACGACAGAATTAATGTTAAAGACATTCTTAATATAAGACTTTGTTTTAATTGTTTATTTTTCCTCCTAGAATATTATCATATCTTGTATATGTAAGAGACTGAATTTTTTTTTTATTAATTGTACGTGCATACATGGAACTCCTCTTAGTATATTTTATTATTGTATACATTCCAAATCAAACCTAAGTCACGTGTATAAAAGGGACAAAGATGTTTAACACTCTAAAGAATGAATACGTTCTAAAGAATACGTAGTAAATCATATTTTAAAATGTAGCAAGACAAAAACTAAATAAGTCTACTAACACGTATTAATAACGCGTGCATTAGTTAATCAGTGTTTACTAGTTTATTTTCATCAAATCATTGTATTATCACTCTCTTAATTGATCTGCTGAAGTCATAATTATTTATATATCAACCGTCTCACACTTGTATTATTGTTATTTTTGCGAAAAAAAAATGAAAGTCATAACTATTTTGTTGGGTTTATTACTGATAAAAGAGAGGCTGCACAAGAATTAAGAATCAGTTACATTAACCAAATATAGAATATCGTATATGACATGTGTTAAGACGTCATGTACCAGATAAAATAGAACCGTGTATAAAATTTATATTTTTTTTTTCTTGAGAGTGAGACAATCCTCTTTGAGTATTTCATCCTACACCTCCAAGATCTCATCCTGCACCTCCAAAAATTCCACTTTTAACCTTCTGACATCTCATCATCATTCTGCACCTCCAACTTTTTCAAAACTTTATTTTTAACTTTAATAAATATTTTTTCATTTTTTTTTCTTTTTTATTAAAAACAATCTTCACTACCTTAATAATAATTTATTTTATTTTATTTTAAAATTTAAATATTATTTAAAATAATTTTGTATTTTAATAATTATTAAAATATAATTTATATTATAATAATAGTTATATTAAAAACATAAAAATAAAATATTAAAAATAATAATAATAATAATAATAATAATAAATAATAATAATAAAAATAAATTTGATTTAATATATTCAAATATATTAAATTATAATAAAATATTAAAATAAATTAAATAATTATTAAATTTTAAATAAAAATGAAAATTTTAAAAAGCTTATTTATATATTAAAATCTATAAAATATGTTAATACTTTGCTTTTTATTTAAAATTTAATAAATATTAAACTTAAATAAAAATTATAATATGTACTTATTATATTTATATATTTTAATAATTAATAAAATATAATTTATATTTTTAAAATAGTTCTATTAAAAAAATTGAAAAATAATAACTAAAATAAGAATAAAAATAAAAATAAAAATAAAAATAAAACTTAAAATCATATTTAATATATTTAAATATATTAAATTATATTAAAATATTAAATTAAATTTAATAATCATTAAAATTTTAAAAA